GGATGCACAAAGAGCTGCATTAGTTCTCACTAAACGGAACAAAAATAACATTGTGTTCCTAAATGGGAGCTTGTGAACAATGAGAAACCAGGCAGGCTCCAGTCGCTGAGACTCACTGCTCTGTTTTCTTGCCCTGTCTCTCTTCCTGTTTCAGGTATGACTTACGTCCAAACCTCTCTCAGCCTTTCATATGGATGTTTTACTCTGGTATGCTATTACTTCTTAAGGAACACTGTACTTGACGCAGATATTTCACTCTGCTGGTTCTTCTTGCTGCTTGGTTCAGGGCTGTTCTACTTCCCTCTCCCACCACTGCCCCCTTCTCCTCCTCCTCCTCCTCTTCTTACTCCTCCCCCTTCTCTTTTTGCTGCTGCTATACCTTTGGCTGTGTTTGGGCTATGGTGCTGACACAAACAGAGGAAGATATCATCATCAACATCATCCAGATGTGGCGCTCTGGTTGCATAGGGGGCTAAGGCTGCGAACACCAGCATGGGAGCTAAACAGATGAAATGGTAAGAGCCGATTTGTTGAAAATTATTATTTCAGCACTGCTGCATGTGGAGGCAGGCTATTGTTTCATCCCCCGGATGTAACTGGAGGCTGATGCACGACAGCAATCAGTCATTTTGCCTGCATGTCTCAGGATGAGTGTTTGGTCAAAGCGTCACCATGAATTAAGGTCTAAATGCGACAGAGAGCCGATCAGTGTAGTATATATTCTTGAGTGTGTTTACAATGTTGTAGGTGTGGGTGTGACCTCCAGCAGGCATCGCTTAGCAACCACAGTCTGACATCCACGACAGACTCTTTCATTGCATGACTTGATCAACAATAATAGGCTACAGCACACAAATACAAATGAAACCATATATTTTGTCATTTATTGTCTACTTGAAAAAAGGGACAAAGCCGAAAGAAAAAGAAGATGTCTACTTATTGTGTACTACTTATAATTATTTACCAGACACTACCACGTAAGGGCCTCTAGTCTTGTCCAATAACTGGGTCAGCAATAACTTGTATATATATGCATGTATTTATAATTTTATATTGACTGTAATATAGTATTTATATATATTCTGTAAGTATAATATTTACAACCCATCTGCATTAAATTTTTTTAAAAACACAATTTGAAGAACTGAATTTAATCCATCTGTGGTTAGTATTTAAAAAAACATTTATTACTAAATTATTTTTAAAATTAAACTTTAAAATTTTAAATGATTTCTTTTTGATATTTTAGATCATAATTGATTGACATTATTTTCAAAACTTTATAGTATAACTTTACAGTATAGTTGAAAATCATGTAACAACACAAACTGAGTGGCCTGAAAGTTTATGACACCACTCCTCAGCTTTGATCCCTCATTGAAATACAATCAGCAACAGAACCTGATAAAAGTTTAACCTGCAACGTTTCTATCAGTTTTGTGTGACATGATGCAATGACCAAACGCTGCTTATCTGCACATACAGTGTATTCTTTCTGTCATGTGATTAACGTCCCTACAAAAAATAATTACAGGACACCAAATTATACAGTACATTCAGTACTCTCCCATTACTGAGGCAGCAATAGGGTGCATTCCCTCTGGTTCATTTCTCAGTTTCTAATCCAAATACACACACGTAGAGTATTAAAAAGCCCACATCAAAGTTGGTGTTCATGTCTAAAGAAAATTAATCTTCACGACTGTGGTTGTTCGCTGACTTTTGCTCCAACATAAGCTACGAACAGTTGATCTGAGGTAGAATGTTCTAGAATGCTGTAAATAGCATTTAAAATGTGCATGACAAGGACTCACAGCGCTCCAGGAATATTTAACTTTACAAGGTTAGTGTGGAAAATAAGAAACACAACTCCGTGGTCCTTTTGTTATATAGGACATCCTATTTTTAAAGTTCTCGTCAAGTACATGCCAGACTCAACTTTTTGTAGAATTGCAAGTATGTGTTCCATAAAAGTTTACAAAGTTAAGAGCTGAAAGAAATGCTCGACTGTCAGAAACTACTAGAAAAAAAATTCTCATACATAGTAACAATGCATAGATGTCATAGGTTTAACTGTCACCACTTTTAAAACAACCCCTCTAATTGTCTGGTTTTCTAGCTCTTTCCAAGTCAATAAAATCCATCGATCAGGGGTTAATCTTGCGTGACTTCAAATCTTCAAACTTACTCTGTGCAAAATATTTTGTCCCACAGTGCAGTACATAATTAAAGAGCATGTATCTGCCTTCCTGGCCCTGTAGGGGGTGCTATAAATGAAGTTCATCCTGGTTTAAAATTAAGTCTTTATTTATGTGGATAATATGAAAAAAAAACTAACATTAACTATTAACTTAACAGCTAGAGTCTTAATTTCAATAAATATATTGCACTTGTTGCGTAGGATTAATTTAAAACACGTATTGCTTTACAGTAATGTGACAGATTTAATGTACCTTTAATTTATCTAACAATATGCAATGCAACTTCCCTTAAGAAGTTTCTTTCTATTGTCCTCCACAAAGTCCTCAACTTCTTACCACCTTTTGTAAGTTTAAATATGTAATTATTTAACAACATTCAGTTCAGCATGAAGGTCTACTGGGCAAAAAGTTGTCTACCCTACAAGGTCACGACCTTAGCTGCATTCCCACTGTAGCTTCTACCATTATGTGGCTTGTGGTAATTGTATTCAGAGATAATGGGCAAAAAATATGTTTTTTGCTGCCAGTTCAGCTGTGGTTTCTTGCAGGTCGCTGCAACTACATGTCAGGGCCATATGTCAAGGAAGCTGACATCTGTTTGAACTGCATAATTAAACTGGTAGTGGAACAATATTAAATGTCTCCTCTGACCTAAAAATAATTTTTAAAAAATAAATCTAACTTCTATGTAAAATTGCGCTTTATCTCCTACTGACGACAGTTTCTTTGATACTAACAGTTACTAACAGTTCTGTCTATTAGTGCTAATGTAAGGCCATATCAACACCACATACACCACATATCATGCATGCACAGTGCCATAGTTCACTGCAGCGTGGGACAATATCCACCACGAGGATTATGGGGAAGCTGACTTTAGTCTAGAAACCAAAATCTGCTAACACTGCTTTTTAATTTATTTCCTATTCGAGGACCAAACTATCTAAGGAATTTCCTGCTGGACAAAAATGACAGAGCTGCATACATTC